GAGATGTTACTCGCATTTGTGAGTAGTATGTTTGGTGTGCACACGGAGAGGCGATTGGTGGATTCTCACGAGATTTGAGAGTGGATTAAAGGATTTATTATTGTATCTACGGAAGAGGCAAATAGAATTTCGAGCTGTTTTATCAGGGATCGCGAGCCTTTCATGAAACCACAAACACACTGTTGCAGATTAGACATTTCGTTCTGGCCAATCCTATCCATGCTGCTCTTCCGATGAACAACAATAACAACAACAACGCTTCTTAGTCCGGCACGTGCCTTGTAGAATTAAAACTACTACGAATACTACTATTTCATTAAACCCAATTTCAATTTTGCCNACACACACACACACACACACACACACACACACACACACACACACACACAACCCTGATGATCACAAGGGAATAGGTGAATATGTTCCCAACTCGGTTGGTGACTTTTCTCAATAATGGGTATAGTTTATGACTTTATTGGCTTCATTGATTTACCCACCCCAACCTACCCCATCCCCAACCCCCGCTCTCCGTCTAGCAGGGGTGAATTCGGCTAGGCCATAATTCACAAAGACATGCAATGCGATTCCGACATACGAGTGGGATGATTCGACGATGCTAGAATGGGACGGGATAGGACGGAATCGAACAGGGATGGGTGAGAAGAGGTTGTGCTTATTTTCAGCGCGCTTACAAACATCACACATCACAGTGTGTCTTAGGGACCATAGAATGAATGACGTATTTAGAAGGTATCATTGAGATAGAAACCTGATGGCGAATGTTGTCGTGACTGTGTCTAGGCCGTGTGTAACGTGTCACACTGAATGTTCATTGCTGTCGTAGACAAGTAATGTCCGGAGAAGTCAAAAATGTATGAAATCCCCGTGTGCACGGAGGGAGTGGCACCTACGATCATGGGAATATCACAAGGTATAATGGATGCGATCACGTGAGTGATGGTGAATGTGGCCAATGTACTCCGTGCTTTAGGCCGGACGCGTTCGATCCATACGAAAAAGAGGTTGTTCCGTTTTACTGGAGGTTACAATTTCCCAAATCGTCTAGCTCTGTACACAGTAGTGTGTCACATCAGGTTACAGGTTACAAAGGTTATCCATTCCCACGAACAGCACTCAGAACTGTTTCTCATGAATCATAGTGTCGATCCCCTTTTATAAGTGAATACAAAAGGGTGATGAAATCTAAATTGAACTAGAACTACGCGCCAACATATCGAATAAAATCCCCACTCATAATTGGTCGGAGTTTGATTTTAGATCGAACGGCGCGCGGAGAGGGGGGAAGCAGTTTCACGGAAAAACGGGAGAGTAGCGAGCTGAGTAGCAAAGATGATCAAAAACGTGATAAAAGAGAAAGAAGGAAAGAGAGTAAGACGAAACGGTTACGAATAAATTTCACAGTTACGATTCACAATGCGGATGCATTCTTACGAGTTAGATTATGGTCAGTTTAGAGGTGAATAGAACATGGAGTAGAGCAAGCAGTGTGTTCAGTCTGGGGTTAAAGTTATCGAAATGGTCACTAGGAGGTCCTGAGTTCGAATTACGCGACCGCTGTCCATCTTCATGATCTTCGTGTATTTCCCTAGACAACCTTTGTATGGCCAGTAAATCAAAAAAGGAAGTTAAAACATTTCTTACTATATATTTTCCTCGAAAAATAACATTCATTGTAAGAAATATGCTGTGAGATCATGCAATGGGCAGAGAGTTACACACACACACACATGAACTGAGTAGTGCGTGATGAGTAAGCAGGTGAGCGAAAGTAAATCTCATCATCAGTCGGCGGTTTACCCCGGGGGCAGAATAAAAATGTCTCCCATTCCGATTAACTCAAAAAGAAACGGATTTTTGCAAGCCACTCCGGTGGATACACTTATCCACCGAATAGAAGACATCTTCATTCGTGGATAGATAAGGTTAAACATATTCACACTTGAATGATAAGCGATCGCGACAAAGTCACTAATCTTTTTCGAGATTTTCAAGGTTCTGTTTTTTTATTATTGTAAACTAGCGAAACAGTGTGTCACAGTGCGGTCACCCCATTTTTTATCACACGGAACTCAGAGCTTTACGTGTAACTTGATTGTTCTCGATGGTGTTAAGATATGGCATTGAGATCTGGAAAGACGAAACTGAAGAGTTATGACGATAACATGGACCACTTGAGACTGAGTGGCACATAAGACCTATCGATTTATTCATTGTTGAACAGAAACGGTCGAATTTGTGCGATTCATTTGTACGAGTGTGCATCCCCGACACCTTGGAGTGACTGAAAAACTCCACTTCCACGCTGGTGGAAGGTGGAATGATCAGGGACAGTGGCATTTAACCCCGGAAACCCCGGAAGCAGCTCTCGATAGATACTAATAATAGTTATACACATTTGTGCCGCAACTGGTCTGATTTGATACAATATCCCATGTTCCATCCATCCATCCATCCATCCGTCGGAACTGACTGTCTCGTCGAGGAAATAACGTCCAACGGTTTTCCGCCAC